TTACGCATTTTTTTTCAATTTCAAGTAAACCTTCTGTTGACGTGTGCACCGTAATCATTAGAATTGGATGGTGTGATAAAGTCAGTTTCGCAAAATATGTCACTTACGAAGTCTGGTCACGGGGGCATCGTTATGTTTATTCAAGCGTCTCGTTTAAAAACTGAAAGTCTCTGCCTAGTAGGCTACTAGTACACACCAATGTACTACATAGAGTTTTTGTTAGAGACCGTCCCACGCTGGCTCTATCTCATTTGATTTCTTTTCCCCCCCTCCTCTATGAAATTTGAGAACGCCACCAACGAAACTTCAGTAACTAATCCTGCCTTCACAAATACATGTACATGTAAGTAGGCCTATAGACAGCAAAATAGTACATGTACATGTATGCATGTTAGAAGGGCTGAAAACAACTTTTTTGTAACTTTTTTTTTTTTTTGGGGGGGGGGTCATGAAGATGTTCCTGTTTTTCAGGATTGAACTCATTTACTGAATATAAATGATACATGTATACTGCTGTTGCAATTTATTTTTGTCTTGTTTCTGTGGTAGAGGTACATTTGACATCAAATGTAAACAGTAATGTATGTCCTAGACAATTAACCTTTGAACTTTGAGGGGGGAGGGGGTATTCTTCTTAAGTTTTAGTAAGAACTGTACGGCACTTGTAACATACAAGTGCCTGTGGTAAGACTAGTTAGAGGATATTGTGCTACATACTACGACAAGAGACAAGTTTATATGTAATATTTTTACGCCCCCATCGACAAAATGTTGATTATTTAAGATACGGGCTTCCGACCCTGCCTTTCTTCGGGGCCAACCTAGGCCGAGGCACTGGGAGGAATCCAACGCAACATCCAAGCAGAGAGGTCGAGAGATACTCGAGGAAAATTTTCACTACCTGTACTCGAGAAACTGAGACCTCCAGCAGGGGACAGCCAAGTGCCTAATGGCTACACCACAAACGCTTTAGTTTTAGTTTTAGTGGAGGTTTTACGGCGCTCGCACTGCATAAGGTCATAAATGAGTAATATGAGCGCCAAGGGGTGGAGGTCAAGAGAGAAGTCCTTACACGTTTCCTGGTGACGTGGCTGGAAAAGTACTGACACACCATCAACAACTCAGAAGAACTAAAGCCTCTTGCTTCATAACAAATTTACCGTTTTTTCTACTTAACGATTCAAAGAGCACATTTTTCCACCCCAAGTGAGCAAAGCTGCAAAGATCAAATAACCATTCTCACTCTGACCGACTTAAAAGGCTATGATGTGCCCATAAGGAAACCACAGTCTACTCTCAAAACATCAGCAAACACTCGCAAGTTCTTTAGTTTAGACAAGGAAACTTATTTTCTTGTGGAACTACATAAGAGCATGTCCACATATGGGCCCCCCAGTGTCAAGGACCATTTTTTTTACTTTAAAAAGTAAGTGTTTTACGGCGCTTGCAACAGCATAATAAGGTTATATGAGCGCGCGGGACACACTGAACGTTCCCAGTTGGTAGGAAATTTGGAATTTTGCCCGGGTGGTGGCCGAAGCTTATTCTTATCGATTTTGGACCACCAAGGGATCTTTAACGTGCGCAACTTTCACACGGGACCTCACGAGATTTTTCACCCATGTCCGAAAAGGCTAGGTATAGATCTTTCCAACCAGAAGATCAGGGGTGTG